ATAGAGTGGTTTTCGTTTGAGTGTCGTAAAACCAAAACCAAAGTAATTACTCTGGCCAATCACATAGGACACAGACAATACATTGAACCAATCAAAACTCGAAGTAATTACATGTGGCTGACGCAAAGTGCGGGAAAATGCATGCGAGCGCGTCACAATTGGCTTTGGTTTTACTTCTGATTGGATGAAAAGGTGGCGCGAATCTTTTAAGCCAATCGCATCGTGTAGAAAGTGCAAAACCAATTACTTTTCGACACTCAAATGAAAACCGCTCTAATAATAAACAGCAAGCTTAATTTACCCCTCTCTTTAGAAGTGTAGGTGTGGAAAATTGGATACGCATGTATTTTGGATTTTGCCCTTGTATAGTCAGAAAACCTTTTACTAATTCATGGAAAATTCTTTAATCTATTTTCTCCTGTCCCTTTACTACTATACCTGTTCTAGCCAACAAGCAGGCTTGCCATTCAGTGGCATTCATTTGACAGGCTATTAGAGTCATGCATACAAACGTTAAGTGTCAAAGCCAACTTCAGTGTGGGTGTGACAAGGACTAAGATCCTTCTCTATTGACTGAAGAATTTTCATTTCCAACCCAGAAACTACAGGAAACTGCAAAAGTGAAATTTTTTCCATGCGGGAGGAAAAATGACAGCTGAATGGAGAGCTGAGCATGCTCAGTGGTATGGCAAGCTTGAGTAACATGCATGATCTGGGCTCTCATAGATTACATATATATATTGAGAGTACATTGTCTACGCTTTTATGCTTTGTGTTGAGATAAGGTAGTACTGAACATGAGCTGATGTGGAGATTAAGGGGTTTTCATTTACTCCTTTTGTCTGACAAATTTCATTTGAATTTTTGTTTTCCAGATCCCTCCCAAAAAAAGTATTAAAAAAAACCCCCAGAACTTTGCATTATTATGTCGGCATATATATGGATGAATTCTTTTTACTCAAGCATTATGGACAGTACCTTAACCAGGGCTTCTGATAGGTCGCGGAAGAAAAAGTCAAATTTTGTGGGATTTTTAGGGACAAATTCGCGGAAAAATTGGCCAATTTTGCGGGAATTTTGTGGGAGGTTTTAGGGCAAACTTCACCAAAAAGCAATTGGTAAAAAACAGCCAATTTTGTGGTTATTTTCAGGGCAAATTTTTGCGCTGATCAGACCAGCATTTTTAACGTTTTTCTAACAGAGGCCATCATTTGCTCTTTCAACAATAATACGTTCCAGAAATGAACCAATGGCAATTAAAGCCTTTAACATCATGGCTAGTGCCCAGTTTTTCGCAACATAATTTACGCCTGGTAGTTTTGGGATGCTGTTTGCACGTTTCAGTGACGAAGTTTCAAAATAAATTTGCAAGTTTACTGCAAGTAAATAGCCACTATAGCTGAAATAAGTTTCAAATATGTTGTACAGACAAGTGTTTGATGAGATTTCTACCGAATTTCGCGGTATTTTTCGTGTTTTTGTGAATTTAGGGGGATTTTGCAGATTTACCTGAATTTCACGGCTCTGTGACCATGTGAAATATCAGAAGCCATGCTTAACTGAGTGCTCCTATCAGAACTAAGTGAGCCTAGCTTTGGTATGGAAACTGTTTCTTACTGTACTGTAGCTGCTTTATTAGGTTCTAATAGAACACGGATAAAACAGATATATATATACAGAAATAAGTGATAGTCGTTCTTTCTTAAAATCCAGTTTGCAACAAATTGGTTCTGATTTTATTCAAAGAAGTTATCACGCGTTTACATGTATAATATTTTTATTAGTTTTAATGTTTTTAAAGGAAACGAGTTACATTAAATTTTGTATTTTGTAAATACAGTAAGTGAATATTCAGGAACATCCATTCAATTGACATAAAATTTTTATTCTGGAATAAGTGCATTAATATATTATTGAAAACATTCTGCAGAGGGAAGCAGAATTACTTGGCAAAAAATGTGGTGGTTTTAAAAACAATGAAAGAAATGGCACACATTGCTAGCTGGTGGCAAATCAACAGCATTTGATCACATGTAAAGCAGTTAACATAAAAAGGTTGAGAAAAAAACTGGCATACTTTCAGAATGTTTAAAATCTGGCATCACATGTACCCTACTTGCCTCCAACTTATGACAGTAGGTTTTACATAGGTTTAAACAATATTAATTTTTTGCTGATGCAATTGTTATGTTTGTTTTATTTGTATTTCTTTAGTTGTAAAGATGACTTCTAATCCATCCTCACCGACTGGTTATCTACACACCCTCTGTCGTCAGGGTAATATTGCTACAATTCAATCCTACCTTAATGGAATAGAGGATAACAGCAAGTTGGAAGAGCGTGTTGGTTTCCTTGGTTACACTCCACTTCATGAGGCAACCAACCTAGGTCAAACCAAAGTTGTCAGGTTGTTACTCCTATATGGTGCCAATGCGAATGCCAAGGCCAATGGTTTCTACACACCTCTTCATATTGCAGCATCAATGGACAATGTAGATTGTGTGGTTGAGCTTTTGAACCATAATGCTGATATAACTAGTAAAGATGAGTTTGGGAAGACAGCTTACGAAACAGCCATTATACACAAATGCAAAAAGTCGGCAAGAATTCTTAAAAGTGAAGGTTAGTAAAGTTAATATAATCTTAAATGTTACAAGCCTAGCCACATGTAACGCATAAAATGATTATTTTAACGAAGGGTGATAATCCGGCAGTGTGGCCGAGTGGTTAGAGCACTGGACCTGAAATTCAGAGGTCTGAGTCTCTCTTGCTCTACTAGCTGGATTTGTTCTTGGTGGTCCCAAGTTCAACTCCTCGACAATGCTTAAATAATATTACAGGGTTCTCAATAGATTTTTAAGTAGGAGGTGATCACTGATAAAGTAGGAGGCTCTTCAGCAAAGCCAGAGGTGTCAAAACAAAGCAAAGAAAAGCGACCTAAACTCAAAGTAAGCGGCTATAAATCCCAAAGTAAGCGGCGATCAATCGCCGGGTGCCGCCTTCTATTGAGAACCCTGATATTATACATTGTGTAAATAGCCAGCTAGTTTACTCCGGTCAGTTGGGGTCCTTAAACCCTGTTAAAATTGATTTACATCGTTAGATTATTTGTTTCAGGCATTTGCTCAGCCCCTGCACTAGCTTTAGTGCTATAAATAATGCTGAGGATATTAAAATTTAACAGAATTATTATTATTATTATTATTATTATTATTATTATTATCCGGTGCGTATGGGACATCTTGGGCTCATAAATCCATCTGATAGTGCGGATGCAGAGTATTCAGTGTCTATTAGGTTAAGCGCTCCACTTGTAAGCAAAATAGAGGTGCAATCCCATGAGACATGGCTGCTGAAGAGAACGCACGTGCAAAATAGAGGCGCAATCCCATGAGACATGGCTGCTAAAGAGAACGCATGTGCTTTAGAACTCTCCGCGAAATCTGGCTTAAGACAACCAAGCCAAGGATATTTAAGAATTTGTCCATCACGAAAATTGGGCATAGCTCTAAGTTTAAATGGTTAGGAGATTTTGAAGAGCTGAAATTGTTTGAAGACGGCTATTTGAAAATCACAGGAACGTGGAGCTACACGACGAACAATGGCAGCTTTCATACGATGAAAGCCAAAGGTGCCTCCATAAGCTTTTATTCTGGGATGAAAACACTCAATGTGCAAGGGTCTAAATCCGAAATTATCGGCCAGAAGCTACTACAATTTGCAAGTACTGTTAGCAAGGAACAAAGCCATTTTGCAGCATCAAATATTCAAACCAATTTCGTAAGTGACGATGACCACGAACAACAAGAAGGTGTTGAAGAACATGAGACTTTGACTTCGGACGAGATTACCAAGGACTTGAATGCTCATACCAAATGTTCCAAGGTCATAGAAGCCGCAATTCACGAGTTCAGACTCGAGGTTGGCAAACTGCGTTTCGGAATTTGCTGAACTTTCAAATCTTTCAACAGTGAGAAGATTGGATGAAACCAGACTTAATGATGAAAACAGAGACCTAAAACTGAAGTTAGAAGAATTAGAAATGCAGTATGATTCTCTAAAACGTGAATCTAGAGCCATCCAAGATGAAAACAAAAGCTTATTGACGGCCCTACGATTGCTAAATAGCGAAATTCCTAGTGAAACCAAACACACAGCTCCCGAAATTAATGTTCAAGCTGACAGGGAGTGGACTTAAGCCAAATCATCAAAAAGAGCAAACCAATCAACTTCCAGTTTGAGTTCGAACAAAACCCATGATCAAGCTGCTGAAAATAAGGAAGAAAAAACTAACTACTATAAAAGGTATTTGGAAACAAATCTAGGGGATAATAAGAAATCATGGAAAGAAGTAAATTCAATATTGGGCCGAAATTTACCAACAACTCAAATAAACAGAATAGATGTTGGAGATAACACAAGTACTACCCCATTAGAAATCTCTAATGCTCTTAATTATCACTTTACTCACATTGGGCCTAGGTTAGCCGATAGTATTCCCAAAACTAGTGTTTGTTTCGAGGACGACATTACACCATCAGATTCTAGTTTTACCCTGAACAAGACTCACTGCGGTGTTGTTCACTGTTTAGTGTGTTCCCTTCGAATCAACAAGACTACGGGCCTAGATGGTATTTCTGCAAGGCTTTTAAAAGAAGCTTGCCCTGAAATCGTGCCTTCTCTCACCCATAATTATAATAATATTAACCTATCCGTTAGGTGTGGGTATTTTCCAGACGAGTGGAAAATTTCCAAAGTATTACTTTTATATAAGGAGGATATATTAAGTCTGATCCTAACAACTATAGACCTATATCTATTCTACCAGTTGTCAGTGAAATAATCGAAAAGGTTATTTTCAAACAACTTTATGAGTACCTAACTCACAATAATTTGCTGACAGTTTCTCAGCATGGTTTCAGACCGATGCATTATACTTTGACTGCCTTGCTTGAAGCTACTAACAACTGGTACTTAAATATTGATGATGGCCTAATTAACAGTGTACTCTTTCTGGATCTAAAGAAGGCCTTTGATACGGTTGACCACAGCATATTGTTAAAAAAAACTGCAACTTGAATGGTCTCGACCCGCATGCAGTTCAGTGGTTCAAATCATACCTATCAAATCGCTTTCAGAGTACTTATGTAAATGGACCCTATCAGACTATCTTCCTGTTAGTTGTGGGGTCCCACAAGGTTCTCTACTTGGACCCTTGTTGTTTCTCATTTATATAAATGACCTACAAGAATGCGAGCTGTCATCATCTGCACTCATGTATGCTGATGACACCTTGCTTACCCTTTCCGCTTATGACCCCGCAACTCTTGAAGAAAAGTTAAACAAAGACTTGGATGAGGTTCAAAAGTGGCTGAAATCCAATAGACTCACATTAAATGTCAAAAATACAAAATATATGATAATTGGAAGCCACTACCGACTAAGGCATTTAAATGGTGTCTTAAACGTCCATGTTAAAAGTCAACAATTGACTCGGGTGACTAATTATAGATATCTGGGAATAGAGGTTGACGAGGCATTGGGGTGGCAATGCCATGTAGATACCATCTGTAAAAAGGTATCTGCAGGTATAGGGGCCTTAAAACGTATTCGTTCCCTGGTGCCTCGCCAAACCCTACTGAAAATGTATGATGCTTTAGTCGCTCCTTATTTTGATTATTGCTCCGAGGTCTGGGGATGTATGGGAAAAGGCCTGCGTGACAGACTCTAGAGATTGCAAAATAGGGATGGGAGAATTATAACATTTAGTGATTATAATACAAGATCTGCGGATATCCTCCAAGACTTGAGATGGGATACCCTTGAGCAAAGACACTCTAAACATCTCGCAATAAGTGTTTAAACCAACCTCCTGGGTTCATTCTTACAATGTGCGAGGTGCCTCAAACAACATTTTTGTACCAAGGCCTCGCACTGAAGCTGCTAAGCAGGCTTTTAGCTATAGGGGAGCTGTCATGTGGAATGGCCTAGAAAATGTGCTTAAAGATGAGATAAATCTCAACTCTTTCAAGTCTGTCTTTGTCTTAAACCAGGGATTGCCTTGAGGGAGTTGAGATAGAATTTATTTTAGTCATATAATTTACCTTTAAGGTTGATTGATTTTTGTGTACATAATTAATTATAGGATAGATTTTCTTAATATATAGATATTTTTAGCATTAGTATAGTTTCTCTGAAAATTTTGTTATCTAATTCTAAATGGCTCANGTAGATACCATCTGTAAAAAGGTATCTGCAGGTATAGGGGCCTTAAAACGTATTCGTTCCCTGGTGCCTCGCCAAACCCTACTGAAAATGTATGATGCTTTAGTCGCTCCTTATTTTGATTATTGCTCCGAGGTCTGGGGATGTATGGGAAAAGGCCTGCGTGACAGACTCTAGAGATTGCAAAATAGGGATGGGAGAATTATAACATTTAGTGATTATAATACAAGATCTGCGGATATCCTCCAAGACTTGAGATGGGATACCCTTGAGCAAAGACACTCTAAACATCTCGCAATAAGTGTTTAAACCAACCTCCTGGGTTCATTCTTACAATGTGCGAGGTGCCTCAAACAACATTTTTGTACCAAGGCCTCGCACTGAAGCTGCTAAGCAGGCTTTTAGCTATAGGGGAGCTGTCATGTGGAATGGCCTAGAAAATGTGCTTAAAGATGAGATAAATCTCAACTCTTTCAAGTCTGTCTTTGTCTTAAACCAGGGATTGCCTTGAGGGAGTTGAGATAGAATTTATTTTAGTCATATAATTTACCTTTAAGGTTGATTGATTTTTGTGTACATAATTAATTATAGGATAGATTTTCTTAATATATAGATATTTTTAGCATTAGTATAGTTTCTCTGAAAATTTTGTTATCTAATTCTAAATGGCTCACTGGAAGAGCATTTTTAGTGAAGTGATACCGTTGTAAATAAAGCTTGATTGATTGATTTGATTGATTGAGAACCCAGAAGAAGCCGAGGTACAACAACTGGTATACGCCACCCAGAAAGAAAAGGGTGATGGGCTAAAAGAAGAGCTTAAGGAGGTGAAGGCCATGTTGCCAGACAAGACACAGAGAGCCGTGGACCTGGCCTGTGAAAAAGGCGCATCCAACTGGCTTACAGTTATTCATCTCAAAGACATGGATTTTGATCTCAACAAGTGGGAATTTCGTGATGCTGTGAGGCTTCTATATGATTGGCCGATACGTGATAATCCGTCAGTATGCGTTTGTGGGAGCAAGTTTACAGTAGATCATGCGATGATCTGCCAGCATGGAGGTTTAGTTATTCAGCACCACAATGAAATATGCGATCTACGGGCCGAGCTGCTTGACATGGTTTGTTGCGATGTGCAAGTTGAACCCGCATTACAACCTATGACAGGCAAAGAGCTTGCCAGAGGGACTAACCGAGCCCCTGATGCATGCCTTGACGTCCACTGTAGTGGTTTCTGAGAGCAATAGAGGGCTGCATTTTTCGATATAAGGGTGTGTCATCCCAATGTGGACTTGTATAGAGATCTTAGCCCCAAGCAAATCTACAGGATTCATGAAAATGAAAAGAAGCGAGAATACAACTCTCGCATCACAGAAATAGAGCAAGGCACATTCACCCCACTGGTATTTACAACGACGGGAGGGATGGCTGACGAATGCCTGAGATACCACTCAAGATTAGCCGAGCTATTATCTGCAAAAAAGCAAGAGAGCTACGCCACAACAATTTCATGGGTCAGCGCGAAAGTGTCCTTTGCAATTTTGCGGAGTGTGCTCCTATGCTAAGGGGATTGAGAACCCTGAGAAGGAGGAACTTAGATGTAAAGGACAGGGATCTAGAAATAGAGAAGGGTCAAGTACAACTTCCCTAGACTCAACAGCTATAGATGCTTTATGAATTGTCTTTATTATATTTTATTTTTTTTAAATAGTTGAAAGAAACTTTTGACTTTTAGAGGCTGACAGTTTTTTTTTTATTGAAATGAAATGTTTTTAATTCGAATAAATTTTTCTTAGTTAAATTAACTCTTTCTAAGCTAAATTAAGTGCTTTTTAAATAGACAGGAATTGTAAATAGTGTTTTGAATGAATAGTTTTTTCTTTTTTTAAGTGAATTAATTGTAAATAGGATTTTAATAGTTAGCATTGTTGTCAATAAAATTTTTTCATTAAAAAATTATTATTATTATTATTACCACGTCATATTATGTAATTTCCAGTCATTATTTTACTTCATATATTATTATTATTATTATTATTATTTATTATTGATTCACAAGTAGTAATGGCAAAGACGGCAAGAATCCGCAATGATTCGCACGAAGGCAAACATTGATCCGCTACTATCAGCAAGAATCCGCAATGATTCGCAAGAAGGCTAAAAATGATCCACTACGATCAGCAAGCAAAGCTACAATGCAAAGCAACACTAGCAAAAGGGCACACAAGGAGCCCTGCAATTCCCCGCGGGCCGCCCCGTAGGTCACATACTGAAGTGGGAGAAGACTGCTGGCCAACTCGCTCGAGTTTAACTTTGCCTAAATGATATTTAGCCACATTATTATTATTATTATTATTTATTATTATTATTATTATTATTATTATTATTATTATTATTATCATAACTAAATTATTATTATTGTTATTATTATTATAGATCTGTTGATAGTGATATGTTGGAACATCTCCTTAGGGACACCTCTATTCAGGGGAAAGGGACACTACTTCTGGGTCCCAAAACCCAGGTTTAACCTTCATTCAGGAGATATCTTGGCACTGAAAAAGTGACTGACTACAAAAAGGGTTGATATCTGTAAGTTTACACTAATCACAATTATGCAAGCTTTCACAAACTCACTTAAGTCAATGTAATGCACTTGTGTGAATTCAACACATAATGTCGGAGAAATAAGCTAATGATGATTTTTTTGTGTTGACTTTGTTGGTTAATTATTAACACATCCCAACCCTACCTCTATTCAGGGGACACCTACATACATACATATTCAAGGGACAATTGCATCAGTCCCAAGGGTGTCCTCTGAATAGAGGTTCCACTGTAATCTAACTTGACAAGGTTGAGAAAAAAAAGTATTTGACAAATGTTAAACTTTTTTTTCTTTTTCTCCAGAGATCAAGAAGGCAGCCAGAGAAAATAATCCAGATCTAAAGGACATGTTAGCATCCATTTCAGATGAAACTGTTCTTCCAACGTGCTTGAAGGAAGCCCTGCTGGAAGCTTCAAGGGGTGGACACATGGATGCTATCTGTGCACTAATAATTACTGGTGGAAGACGTTCTCTGCAACTCAGAGACTGCATCAGTGAAGCTGTGAAGTTTCACTGTTATGAGGCTGCTGCCCTTTTGTTGGCCTGCTATGCAGCCAAGCACGACAAGAAACTGCTTCTAAGATACTTGATGAGCGAGGAGATGAGCAGACAAGAAGAGGAACAAGTGATTAAAGAACATTGTCAACCAAATCGTGGACTACCACGTGATGTCCTGGATAAATTAAGGTAAATCTCTCTAATTTTAGAGTTGGATAAAAATTAATAATACAGTGAGTTTAATTTGTCAGTTATTCAGGGATATCTTGCTAAATTTTGACAGAAATAGACTGTTTCGGTTGTCTGCTTAATTTTTCTAAACCTTTATTTTTTTCTAAACCTTATGCCTTTTTTTAAGATCATTTATTGTTGACAAAGAATCCTTTAACATCGCCGTTCCCATTGGGCTGGCTTTGCAGCAAAGGAAAAACGAAGCCGCCGGAATTATTCTTCGGAATACAAACTGCAATCAACGACAGAAACAGGTCAATTGGCCGAAACTTGTCCTGGAAGAAATAGATCCTTTATGGTTAGAAAGCATAAAATGGGTGGAAAAACTGTTTCTAGCTTCCAATTTACTAGCAAGTGTTCCAAGTAACATTCACGTTTTGGACAAACTATGCTGTCTGGACTTGAGAAGAAATCAGCTCAAATCGATTCCTTCCCGTCTACTGCAGATGCCGAGTTTGCGAGATCTCAGACTCTCTGAAAATAAACTCACTGAATTGCCGAGGAACTGCAAATGGAGTCCTTCTCTCAAGTCAGTTTATTTGAGTGATAACTCCTTAGAAACGCTCCCGAAAAGCATGGCAACAGCAAAGTTAACAATTCTTTACCTTGCACGGAATAATTTGTACGAGGTGCCTCAATGCATATGGAAGATAACCACTCTTCAATCGTTGGATCTGTCTGGCAATCCAAGGTTAACACAACTTCCATCTCAAATGGGAAGGCTTATAAATATTGAAATGCTCAGGCTGGAAAATTTAGAACAGGTAGGTGGTACACACAAAATGGGAATTTGTTGGAAAAGGGAATGTTTAAAACTTAGTGCTGTATTTTTGTGCCTTTTTTGGTTTGAAGAATATCACGTTTGTATTTCTTTGATTGAGAATTTTAGTTTGTGTGTGAAGTTTATACCGGCCAATACTCTTTATGGAAAAGGGACACCCTCGGAGCAACACTGCTTTCTTGATTTGTTCTTGGTCACAAGCCAAACGAAGAGGAAAAAATTCGCAACGACGAAAACTCTAAGCAGCGCACGATACACGCTCAGCAAGGGATTTAATCCCACCAAACTTGGGAGCGGCGATCGAAGTGCGTGTTTCTTCGGAAACGATAGATCTTCGCACTCTCGAGTTCGGACCCGATTAATTACGAAGTCCGTCTACTACGAGTGAGCGAGTGACTCATTTGCATATCCTAATCCCTGCAATAACTCGTGGTACGCTCGCGTGTACCCACGAGTTAAAAAAGGAAATCAATCAATAATTTATTCACTTTCTCTTCCATTGTTTTGATAGGTAGGTTAGGAGTAAACACAGGGCTTGAAATAATTTTGCGACTAGCGCCAGTCGAGTTGTCCGGTCAAATCTATTACGTTTTATCTCTCAAAAAAGCCCCTTTCTTTTTTTTTTTCTTCACGAACGCCAAAGTAATGTCTAATTACGTAAAATTTGAAGTTCGGAGTTAGATTTTCCATTAGAAACGTAAATGATCAGACAAAGTGTCAAGTCATCCAAGGATTTGACCGGATGAAGCCTATACTTTTGACCGGCCTTTGTCCGTTGACCGGCCGTTATTTCAAGTTCTGGTTTTAAACACAATAGGTGGGCGCAGTTTTGAGCTTTATGGTTTAAGCAGAGCATTGGCCATTGTGCCAGCGTTATAAATTAGTATTATTTGGCCACGTTAATGTTGCCGTTTTGCTTCCCACTCACTCTAGTTTTAAAAAGAGAGTTTGAGCAACTCGGATATAGTCTATTACGTTCACTTAAGTTTGTTTTGCGGTGTGCCGTAGAGGGGAGATAGAAGAACGGATGATCATCATCAGTATTGGATGTGATGTCACCTGTTTTTGTTGTACCTTGTTGTTTCGCTTTTTGCTGTTTAGACCTCAGTAGGTACCGTACCAAAACGAAAAAACTGAATGAATTAAATGGTGCGTATTTCTTGTCCTTTATTATGCCTAAAGATGACAGATCCTCCTGATGAGATCAAACAGAACGGAGTCAAAACCATCATGTATCTTCGAAATAGTCTGCGCTCATCCAAAGCTTATTATACTGTAAAGTTGATGTTGGTTGGAAGAGCAGAGCAGGGAAAGACAACACTGATGCATCGGCTAATGCGGGACTACACATACAACATCAATCAGTCAACAAACGGTACATGAAAATGTTTAGTGTTGCTAGTTCAGTAACTGAGAGAGTGGATGGTGTGTATTAAGTGTTCACTGTGTACAGGTAGCCATTACGACACCTAAGGGAGGATCATCAGGTTATACCTATATTAAGGCCCAGGAAAAGGTTAGCCACTGGCACACCACCCGGGTCTACTTCCCCTACTCTTTTCGAACAGTGTTGTGGGTTCTTTTGCGTCCCACAAGAACCAGATAAGTGGAAGTGCTGTGAGACGGGACCTACGGTTTTTCGTCCTTATCCAAGAAGACTAGAAAGTCTAACCGCGTTGGCAGATGTTATTACGAAGGCAGCATTTTCTTCTCAGTAATTAAAAGACCCTGGGTGTTGGTCCGGCCGGGATTTGAACCCGCGACCTCCCGCCCAGCAAACCGGCGCTCTCCCAACTGAACTAACATGCAGCTGTTTGTTAAATTTTTCTTTCTTCTATGAGAAGTCGTAGGGAAACTTCAGAAAGAAATGTTTCAGGCTTCCATTGGATAACACTTTTTAACTCTATTCTCGGTCCATTTAAAGGTTCGACGGTGAAGCGCCTAAAAATTGGCTCAGTCGATTACTGTTTAGACAACAAGTTTTGTATCCGACCTAGAATCTTAAATAGCGTAACATTTTATTTTCATGTTTATGTTGGTACTTTCACAGGCATTGCCATGGACGAATTTCGTTACAATCGCAGAGAATTTGGCCTGTTTTCAAACTACCCGGAGTTTAAATTCAAGATATGGGACTTCGGCGGTCAGGAGGACTTCTACACGACGCATCAGTGTTTTTTATCCACCCTGGCGCTTTATCTTTTAGTCTGGAATCTGCAAGAAGGTAAACAAACAAACAAAAAAAGAACCGCAGGGAGAAGTTAGTAGCTTTGACCTTTTTCACACGCTGTTCCAGTTACGGGCAGATTGTAGCTTTTGGGTCTGTGGATGAAATCCTATGATGTGAAATATAAATGGCATCTCTTTACTTTTTGCGTTATGCGCTATAGACCGCAGATACAACCGTCCCTCAGGCTACACACGGTACTTTTTGTTGTACTAGTAGGAAGTTTAAGCAACGATGACGGCGACGGCTACGGCTACGAAAACGTCACTGGAAAAGTGAATTCGCGCTGCCTCGTCAAATGTTGGCAAATGTCTTTGGAGTTGAATTCTAAAGGATTGTATCAAAGTCACGATAAGAAAAACAAGATTGTTGTTTTGTGCTCCGGTTCTCGACAAAACGTGAAATCAGGTGTTTTCACATTGTAGTCGTGCAACGACGGCAAAGAAATATCATACAAAAATGCGTGATGCACGTGCAAAGCTGTTATTTTGCCATTCTCAAACTCATTAATAATTCATAAAGAAAATTCAAAGGAAATTAATGTTTAATGAGTGTTTGGATATCGGATGAAAAACTGCTCATTTTTGCATCATTAATTTCTCCTTCAAAAATGATTTTGTTTGAGAAGAAATATCAAACATTCGACACAGTGTTTCATCACCAGATGAAACACCCCGAAGTTCGTCAAAAAAACTCCGCTACGCGTCGTATTTTCAACTCTCTTCTCGGTGTCTCATCTGGTGATGAAACACTGTGTCTCATGTTTGATATATTACATCTAAACCTATTGGTTTATTGCCGTTCTCGCTGCTGTCGCCGTCGTCCTTGCTTTTCCTAATTTATCCACGAGACGTACGTGATCCTGTGTTCCGAATCCTATGTATATGCATGTATTTATGAAAGAAAAAAGTGCACTTGATTTGAGTGTCGATGTTATTAAGCACGATAGTACTATTTGGGGACACTATATTTACGTTTCCAGCTGGAGACGGGACCGCCATTTTACGTGGTCATCCGAGCCACGCGAAGGTCTAGCCACTGGCAGGACAAAGACAGTACCGTCGTTTCTCAGTTGGGGTTGATTTCCACTGTCGCGTAATTTTTACGTGCGTACGTGCGTAAAATTTAGGTTCGCTAATAAAATAGAGGCAATGTATGAAAGGTCGCACGTCAGCGCAAAAGTAGAACCTCACTCAACTTCACGTTTAATCTCAACACTTTATATCTTGCCCTCTATTTTATTCCTGTGATTAAAATTTGCGTGCGTTAACGTGCGTAGCCAAAAACGCGTCAGTGGAAATCAACCGTTACTTTAAGACCATGAGTATTGGTCCAGACCCGGGAATCGAACCCACGACTTCCCGCTCTGCAGTCAAGCGCTCTACCGACTGAGCTAACACCGCTGTCGTGAGTGGATGAAGCAGTCTCGCATTACTGGTAATATTATGCTGTATACACAGGATTCCCTGCACTCTTTTCCTTAGACCGTAAGCAGTCGTCCTTTTTTCCTCAGAGCCACGCGAGGCGAGAGAAAAAGTAAAGTTGTGCAAATTACTAGTTCGCCCTCCTTCTTCGCGGCTTCGCCGCTCGCCCCCATTCGTGCTCTCGGTCTACTGTGACTCAAAAGAAAAATAAGAGACTGCTTGCAGTCTATCTCTTCCTGCTCTGGGAGAGGAATGCGATGATGATATACTGCATACAGGGAGTAGTAATTTGCTAGTAGCCACACACGGTACTGTTTGTTTTCGCCTTTTCTCTGAACAAAAAAGTATCAGGGTTGTTTATTTAAGGCCCTTTTGGCTCTATAATGCCTTCTTTTCATTACTGTGGCAAATACTTGGGGAATATCTTAGTTTTTAAGGCCCTCAACAATCTCGCACCAAATTACATAAGAACTACGTTAACAATGTCTAATGACATTCATAATGCGAGCATGAAAATGAGAAGACTTGCCCAAAATTAGTAATGTAGGAACTAAACATTTTTCAGTCATGCCTGAGGTCTTAAGAATGTTATAAAGCTTTTGGCCTTGTTTCGTGCGTTTTGTTTGAAATATTCGCATGAAATCTATTGAAATTACTCTTGTTGTCATTTGTTCTTCAGAGAGTATTTACATGACTGCGTGATGCAGTTAATTCGTGTGTTCATTTGACATATAACTGCGCAATGCGATTGCTTTGTCGTCTTTGTCAGTTCACTAGAGTTCTCAGTGGCTCAGTGGTTAGAGTATCTTGCTAGAGTCTGAAAGGCTGTGGGTTCATTTCCTATCTGGAACTCAGATTTTTTTTTTCTGAGTTCTTCTCTCCCCACATATTTTTCTATTTATTGATTTCTTCGTCCAAATATTGAATTACTGGCCCATCGCTTTTTTCGAAACTGGACTACGGATAGCAGTTAAAATTCAATTTGCTGGTTATAGACCTTACATCTGCGCCCACTCTCCGCATAGAAAAGTAAAAAGTACAGTGTATTTCGTTCTTAACGCTGCAAACACTTTTTTATTTTGCTCTGTGCAGGCGAAACTGGAATCGAGATGCTAAAAAGTTGGTTAGACACCATTTCAGCGACAGCGTCCAACATAAGCCTCATCATCGTGGGCACTCACCTGGACGAAGTTCGTAAAAGCAGGGAAGCTGGATATGAAAAGCGCATGCACGACCTGGTGAAAGAGCTGACCAATAAGTACGCAAGACAAATGAATGTGGTGGGCATTAAAGAAGTTAGTTGCGCATTGGATAATAAAGAAGGTATAGAAAAGAGACCATTATAAGTAAACAGCAAGTTCTCTTCTGTGTGCCCTTAATTGTTCCTACCGACGGAAAGGGTTAATTAAATTAAAGTTAGCTTTAATATGTTAATTCCAATTTGTAAATCGTTCAGACGTGCTAATATATTAACAAAGTTGTAAAGTTGTAAGAAGTAAGAATACCACTTCGGCTTTTCTGTGATATCCGTTTGAGCGTGGAATTTAATTGAAAATTCATCGTCGTTTATGCATTTTCCAATAGAGCTTACCAGCACAAAACAATACAAAAACTGTACGTTGTCCATAGTGGAAGTAGTTTTTGTTAAATTTTATTAATAATACTTAACACTAAATGACTTTCGAGAGAAACAAACTTAACTGTTTCCCGAGGGACCAGTCTTAAAGTGAGTTGTTATATGGCTGGAGATTTTGAAGCTGGAAATTCACTGAACCTCACTGTAACGGCGGTCGTCGGTCAATATTCGGGGCTAACAGTGCACTGTTAGCCTGTTACCCGTGAGAGATTTTGCAATAGAGACCTAAAGGTCGAAGTTTGGTCATTTTACTGCAAACGACAAACTGCGTTTTGCGGTTAACGGTTTCACGTTATCGGTCTGCCCATAATATTATTTGGGACTTAAGATCTCGTGGGTGGTAGCTCGCGGCTGCCATGTTTGTTTTCATTCATCCATCTCTTTTAACTGAGAAATTGTCTTCAAAATTACGTTTTTTGAAATAGATTTCGATTACCAATAAGCAAAAGAGTTCTAAAGAGTCGTACCTCTTCTCAAACGTGTTATTGTGATGTTTAACGGTGCAAAAAACCTTGCGGTAAATCACTTACCTCTGGAACGTGGTCGAGCCGCACAAACGTGAACCTCAAACCGCAAACCTGACGGCAAGGACCTGGTCACGTGACTTCTTGACGTTCGCGGTTCGCGGGAAATGCCGAAAAACCTGAATCTTAAGCTCTCTATTGTTGCCGGAATTCCCACTCGGAGATTTGGGCGGGAAACAGTTTCATTCTTAGATGTCATGTGACCTCAAAGTAACCAATGAGGATGCGCGCTGTTTGAAAGAAATTTCTAGGTACATAACGATTGTCGTTGATGAGCGCTTTGCTAGAAACGTAACCTAAAGTATTTCTCTACAAGGAACACGCCAAGTAAGAGTTAACTCTTGACCTACTTTCATATGTGCATACGTGCGTAACTTCCCTCCGTTGATATGAAAGGTCCGTTTCGCTCCCATTTCTTCCCACGTGCCTTTTTTTCTCTTTTCCTTTTCCCTTCAAGTGCCTACCATACAGGCTAAACACAGTAGGCCGGGTTCCCGGCGCTAGCGGCTAGCTAAAACCAATGGCTACTCGGAAGTACAAAGGTGATTTAACACGAGACGATTTGCTGTGACGATTTTTAGGGCAGCACAGCTTTGCAAGTTTTAATGCTGGTTCAAACCTTTAAGGATAAAAAGCAACTCCATTAAAACATGACGTTTAGCGAATGCAAAAGCGTAAACGGAGGTGGCGGCTGGTGTAGCCACCTCCGTCTGGACATTGCCGAACACAGGTACTCTGTAATTGACAAACACGTCAAAGAAACAAGACGCTGTGGCAGCGTGCACTTCGGCGTCGCGGATTAATTGTGAATGCAGAGAAATAGTAAGAAATGATATTTTTCCGGTTACTCCGTAGCATACCCTTCCATACAAATAACCCTTACTTTTCTCTTTTTGTGTAACAGACGTACGCGTCGTAACTTCTTCACCGGAAGTCTCTCACTGCTAGGTGCATGACCACGTGGCTGTAACCCAATTCGGTTAACATTTCTGCCATAAATAAATTGCGCGCGACAACATCTCAGTTCCACTTCCCTTATTCCCTCTACAACAACGCTTTCCTTATGTACAGTTAACTCCAGACCTAACATCAGTACACTACCTTACAAAACTTGCCGAAAATGCACAATCTCCACACCGAGGATAATTCAAGTTCAACATCGCAACATAAACTAGAAATATGTATCTCGCAATAACCCTCGCGAAACTCTGTAGCTCCACTCAAGTTAAGCCCTGTCGGGCGGGATTAGGAACTTGATGGGTAACCCACCGCGAATGATCGTCGTGAAGGTCCTTACTTTTTCTTTCTTTTCTTTTTTTTTGCGTATTGTGCGGTGTGATTTTTAAAAGTGTATTGAAAAGCATATTTAGCACTATTTCGGCCGCTGGATTTAGAGAAAAAAAAACAAACAAATAAACACGGCAGTACAGAACTAAAACTTTAATCTATCGGCGGGGAATTTGACCGGCAAACTAATAAATTTGGGTTTTCCACGGTGTAAAACGAATTCCAAGCTAGATTTCAGGGGGAAAAGGCAAGGTTTGGACGGTAAAAAGCCAAACTGAAACTTACTTTGGAGAAACATATCGCACGACATAAGCAAACTCGTCTGCAAAGTGAAACGCACAGAAAATTGCTCTTGTATCTCGATTTTCGCTCGTATTTTGAAGCTACTAGCCCAAATTGCTTCAATGTTTTGTGTAAAATACTTTTGCAGTCAATATTTCGAGCCAGCGAACTAATTCCGAAGCAACTTCGGGACATCCGAATGCAACTTTGAAACATTCCTGAGCGCCGCGAATCCTTTACTTTGCGCTCCGCCGAAGTAAAAACACCAACAAGAGCCAACTAATCTCCGAGAACGTTTTAAGATCGTTAAGAGGAAAACTTGAGTGCCTCATTTATGACATGTCGTTAATTAAGGAAAAGAGACCAACCTTAAACCGGCACTCAAAACCGATTCCATTCCCTCAAAACTTTTCACTTGATTATTTCATTCTTTTGTTCTTCAAATTTAATGTTGTGTCTCACACCGTCGTTTCCTATATATATCTTTTCATAGTCTTTTTGATTTGCATTTTATAATGATGACATGTGGTCACCGAAACGTCATGTTTTGATAGCGTTGCTTTTTTCCTTGAATGTTTCACAGAATCTGTCGTTATCAGAAGGTTCAAACCTTGCAACCCAAAACTCGCATCGATTTTCTAGACAGTTTTGACGTTGTAAACTTTTGAACCCTCTTTAAAAACTTGCATCGCTTTTCTTGACAGTTTTGACTTTGTCTTCGTCGTCTCTTGTATTAGTTTCGGTTTCAGTTTATTGTTTTGTCATAAAAATCATACAAAACAAGAAGTTTTACATATTTAAAAGCTAATGGCAAGGAAGCCCAAGGGAAACCACTGGGCTTATAAGGAATAGCCGGGCGGCTTCAGTTAATTATTACAACAAGATATGAAAAACAATTTAGCAAGTCCTTTAGTTCTGTTTGCGGTCATTTGAGTTTACTTTGTGTAGATTGCATGTAACGTTCCGTTTTCGTTGTGTTTTCCTCAAAAAGGGATTGATGACCTTCGGCTCACTATCTATGATGCCGCAGCAGCCCTCAAAAAGACCAGCCTGGGTCAGGTATCGGTGATGGGTGAGATGATCCCACACAGCTTCCTTTTGGTAGAATCAGCCATTCATGCCAAGCGGCAAGAACTGCAAGACTCAAGAAAGCTGCCAATCATGCACAAATCAGAATACGAGGCTCTGGTTCTGGACATCATAAAGAATGACCCACAGGATATTGAGGATACTAACGACCTGAGGGAAGTTACTCAGTTCATGCACGAGAGGGGTAAGCATTGGCCAGGTTCTGCTCCCAGTGAACAGGGAGCTGGTACGACTTATCACCGCAAAGGCTCTAGCGATTGTTACAGGGACAGCATAAACATGGCGGACTGCAGCAAGCCACCTGTTAAAAGACGCTGTCCCTGTTATTGTGAATGAAGGAGACATACCTGTTGCATAAGGGTCTTAAGGAATTCTGTAATGGCGAAGATTAGTTGTATTTCTAAAACTATTATTGCAGTTTGGAACAGTAATAGTGCGCTATTTCTTTTGACCGTACATGCTGTCAGTCCCTCCAAACGTTCCCAAGAAGCTTTATTAGTTTTACATTTGCGAGTTCATTTTACAGAATATCACGTGACGCAGGGGTAACAGGGGTGCACTCTAGTTGCGATAATGAGTAGTAAAGCCGCTCGTATAGGGCTGTTTTCTAGACTGAATTGATTATTCAAATGAGAATAGAGAGTTAAAGATACCACGACGGCGATAGCGTTTAAAAAGTAAATTCGCGTAACTCTCTATTTGTCAAATGTTGGCGAACTCTCCTGGAGTTGAATTCCTAACAACCATATCCAAGTACAGAAAGTGAAAGAAAATTTGGTCTTCGCTTGTTTACGTTCTCCATAAAAACTGAGTGTGTTCTTTCTATGTGGGCTTTTGTTAATTATCCCATATTTCACAGACTTAACTTATACCCAGGCCCTTTCGGTTGGAAATTAGGCAATGGTAAGCTAATTAAAATGGTCTACTGCTAATTAAACCACGCATCTCATTGTAATTAAGGGCTTTACTACTGTTACAGGCATCCTGTTACACTATAACGACCCCAACCAAGACCTTCAAGATCTTTATTTCATCGATCCCAAGTGGCTTTGTGAATTGATGGCGAGAGTTGTGACGTTGCCGGAGGTAAATCCGTACATACACAACGGAGTCTTGAACCTGGACGATCTTCCACAGATTTTAAGAGGGGAGCTGTTTGCTCAGCACAACTCACCTCAGTTCATCCGCCTTTTAAATCGATTCCAGGTCGCATGCTCCTTGGGCGACAACCGCGTTTTGATTCCTTCTAAACTGCCGGCCAAGAAACCGGATGAGGCCACGAATGCCGACTTGCCTTTCATAACGCTGAAGCGATTGCACTCTCTGCCTTGCATACCTCATGGATTCTGGAGTCGCCTTATCTCGCGCTTGTTGTCTTATATGAACGACATGCTGTCAGGTGGAGAGACCTTCACCAGGAGTGAATACTCCAGTCCGTTCCAGCTTGATCCTTTCTGCTGTCGATGCCCTCTGGTGCTGGAAAACTTAATCTCAGGTGGCCATATGGATAGTGAACAGAACCTTCATGGCGCAAGAGATTCCTCGATTGGAGGATCGTTCGAGAATCTTTATGATTCTTCTGGGGAAATTCAAGGTATTCGATTTTTTGGAACTCAGCGGCGTGGGACCTTCATCAACGGCAGGTTCTTCGGCGTTTCCGATGGGGAAGGTCAAAGCTCTCGCAGTGATTCGGGGTATGAATACAGTTCTGAGGAGGAAGACGAATCTCACGGAAGACCTCGCCAGGTGCTAAATATGACTTTTCCTTTCACTCGTTCAAATGATAACCGTCGGAGAAACAGACAAATATTTAAACATGGTACCGATCCAGGTGTCTGGCGAGATGACGAGAGTGTCAGTGGTCCCGAGAATGCCACACCCAAGAGCTACACAGGTATTCCGATCTTAAGACAGAATTTCCGCGTGGAGGTGGAGTCGAGTCGTGATAAATCGGCGTCAAGCCTCGATGAAGCGTCCTGTGCAGCGGCAGCTGTTGAATATGGAACCCCCCAAATTGCCCTTGAACCTTCGATACCTACAAATGAGCTTGAAGAAATAAGACAGACAGAAATTGATAGCTGTGAAAATCTCTCTTTTGAGAGAAAAATAGTCATTAAGGCAGATAAGGCAATCGTCCAAGATAAGATCATCAATGAAAGGCCGTTAATGAGCTCCGATGGTAAAGAGCCCAGTGAAAGAAGCATGACGGGCTTGTCCCCGTATTGTAGTAGTGGCGAGGAAAGTGCGCCTTACCATTCTGCGGTTTCCAGAACGAGCACGCCAGATACATTTCCAAGTGATTTAACCGATGGACAATGCATGGGTCTTTCAAAAAGTCCCACTGAAGACCCCAAGAGTGAATCTTCCTTGGAAGGCTTCAGTGCTAAGGGAATCTCGTGGCTCTCACATCCCGTGACGGAAGCGGAAACTAAGGGGACACAAAGTTCTGGTTCACTAGAGAAACTCCCACCTCTTCACACCATTGAAGGCCCGGAATGCAGCGAAGGAGACAGGGGAAACGCCGATATAGAAGATGGAGAAGCAGGTAACTAAGGAATCAGTTACATCGCCTTCCACTGCTTGGTGGCGAGGGTATAAACTTAAAGCGAACGACTAAGAGGGTAATGTAAATCGTATCTGTCAATTCTTTAGAAAGGATAGGGAAGGAATTAACTAGTTAATCGCTTGTGTGAAATTCCAGCTCTGTGGGATTTTACCCATAGGCTGTAAAGGACTGACTAACTAACCCATCAAGAGATGGCCGTCTATTTTATCGGCTCGAATTCCTCAAAACTATAGACTTTTTCTAGGTACTTGGTACTGGCCAAACCAGACCGAACAGTTCGTGCATAATCGCTACATGATAAACTTTTTAGTTGGGTGAAAAGTGTTGTTGTTGTTGTTGTTGTTGTTGTTGTTTTTGCTCTGCCGGGATTCTATTTTCACTGGGGTACTGAGGGGAAAGTAACGCTAAGGAGCGCTTATCAATTAAAACATTGAGGTGTTCTTCGTTTGTTTGTTTGTTTGTTCGCTCATCTCAACATTGCTTACATGAGTGTAAAATCTTCAGTTCTTTTGGGTTTTCTGTCAAAGTACCACCGAAGGGAATAAACTTACCGATTTAGAAGTTACATCTACTAGAGAATCGGGCTGGGGAAAATTTCGCCCGGCAGGGTGTGTAATAACTATCAACTGAAGGTAATGTAGACGGGCTGAAAATATCACTGACCAAGGGATAGAGGATAAGGGGGTGCATGACTTACAAGACACCTCTTCTATGTCTTCTAGCGGTGTTGTTGATATTTGACGGTTTTCGAGTTGTTAATATATATTGATGGTTAACTTATAACTATTACTTCCCTCTGATCGCTCATATTTTCTGGCAGGTGTAAGCGACCCCTCAGACTCTACGATCTGCGATAATCAAGAGTCGCTTCCTACCCCTGGCACAAGCTTACAGTTTACAGAACATCCTTCTGAAGTGTTTAAAGATACCGCACTTGAGACGCCACTTACAAGTACACCATCGAAAGCCCCGAGACCTTGTCCTGAGAGAAGCTCTAGTGAAGATACTTATCAAGGCAGACCACGTCTTGGAACACCCCATCGTCCTGCCTGCCCTTTCATTGAGGATTTTCCCTTCGAAAAATTACCTGAGCTTCCCACGGATGTTGCCAAGCTGATCGACAATGGATTCCTTCATTGTTGGAAGTCCGGAGTTTGTTTGAGTCATCCGCGCTTGTTCCTCTTGCTGCACTGTGTTCCTGACACGGCAAATGATCGACAGGTCATTGTTACAGAGGTGAGTCCCTGCCCTCAAGGCCGCAGGGTGCTCAGCTATGTTGTAGACCATATCGATACTCTGATTCGTGAGTGGTACCAAGAACTCTCCACCACAGACGGTTTTCAACCCAGGGTAAGACAGTTGATACCTTGCGTGGTGTGCGAGCGGCTTGGTCTCGAGCCCTACAAATTCACATTTGTTCAATGCCAGCAGCAGAGTTCCAAATCCGACACAATTTCATGCCCCAAACATCCTCGACTGGAGGTCAATCTACACAAAGTAGCGCCGGATATCATGTTACACGACGTAGATGCTGATTTGCTGTTGTCACATGATGAGATCACTTATGAAGACACTGATTCGAGTAGGCTGGGAACTGGTGGATTTGGGAAGGTATTGTGAATTATTAGAAACCTCTAGATTCGACGCTAACACCCGTCGTTTAATGACGACGGCTCTTACGTATTCCCGCTAAAATGACGCTGCTTCAAGCGTGAGCACTGCTTGGTATTGAGAAAATCTCGTCCTCGTCGTTCTTGTCTTATATTCTTAAGATCTCTATTATAAACTTCATCTTACTATATAGTTTTAAGTCGTTGTGAACAACTTTTAGGTTGCTTATGACGCTGGATCAGAGTGATGTCAAATTGCACTTTGAGTTTGGGACTATTTTGGGACCGTATCACCGTCTTTTTCATTGGCTATTACAAAGTTGCGCCTGGCTGTAGTGGGTCAAAATTTTTCCCCAAAACATCTCATACTGCAAGTCAACACGTGGTCGTAAATGAGCCCAAAAATGGTTAAGATGCTAAAGTAACGTTGAATTTGAGACCGTGACCTTTAGACATCGATTTGGAGCTAGAGACTAGATGGATCACTTTAGGTCTCTGGGAAACTGCCCACCTACCCCTCCCTTAACCCAACATTTTGCCCCAAGTAAGACGCAAATGTTAACGTTGAGTTAGGGGAGGGGTATGTGGGAAGTTTCTCAGGAACCTAAATCGAACCGACTTGAATGAAACTGAGCCTTATTAATCCTTTCACTGAGTGCAAGTTAACCATAAACATTGCTGCAGTTACTGTACCCTTCTGCATATCCTCTGAAACATAGACACAGTAAAACCCCCTAAATACGGACACTGGGGGACCATAGAAAGTGTCCTTATAAACGGGGTGTCCGAATTAAGCGGGTTGAATTAAGAAAAAATGTCAGGGCTTTATTCCCCCAGGGACAAAGCAAACTGTCCGTAATTACGAGGTGTCCTTAAAGCGGGGTTTTACTGTACATAGGTATTGCATTGCTGACAATGTTGCACCCCGTGTTACTGTATCAGGTTGTTCGTGGACAGTGCAGAGGGCAAGATGTAGCCATCAAGTTTTATATTCAGAGCGATGAGTCAGAGCCCCTCAGGCATTATCGTGAAGTGCGTAAGGAGTTGAACGTGCTGCGTCGTGTTCGCCAACACCCATTCCTGATCAGCGTTATTGGTGTTTCCCTGCGTCCTCTGTGTCTGGTGCTGGAACTTGCTGAGCGTGGTGCGCTTACTGATATTATTGTCAAACAGAAGTCTGTAGACCGGATTGTGCTTTTCCGCATCGCCTATCAAGTAGCAGACGCCTTGAGATTTCTGCACGATTTGGGTATAATTTATCGGGACTTAAAACCTGAAAATGTCCTTGTTTGGTCACTGGACGAGCGTGATGAACTGCACGTTAAGCTCATCGACTTTGGCACCGCTAACTTTGCTACCATGACAGGGCTTATTTCGTACGCAGGTACACCCGGTATTCGTGCCCCGGAGATGTTGGAATGCGCTAACAAGGAAGAGTATACCTTTCAAGTAGATGTTTACTCATACGCGATCCTTCTGTATCAGCTCGTTACACGACTAGTTCCCTTTGAAGAATACGATTCTGAACCGAAGATAAACGCGGCTGTCATCGGGGGAGAGCGTCCAAGGTGGCAGCAGGTCCGCGTGACTATGTTCGGTCTTCCGACACTCACCGAACTGATGCTTCGGTGTTGGTCGGGTAAACCGACCAGGCGACCGAAGAGTGCTGAGATAGTAGAGCAAGTCCGTCAACCAGCATTCCAGTGTTTACTCGCTAAACAGCCCATTCCCACTGAAAGCCTGTCAGTCAGGCATGCGTGCCTCGTCCCAGATTCGCACGATCTGTGGCTCGCGTGTGATGGTCGCACCGCTAACAAAATTTTCATTTACAATAGTCGGACACTCGACATGAAATTTTCCTTCTGTATTGACACTTACCAAGAAGAGAAGTACGTCTTGCAAATTCAGTGCATGCATTTTATGGCACATCACATGTTGATCGCACTCCGCGGTGAGTTGGACTTAGTCAACATCTACTCCACCTCAAGCGCATCGCGCTACAAGTGCGTGGCATCCTTTACCTTTAAAGAAATGGTTACCTGTATCGCGTCAAACGATCAGTACATCTTTTTTGGATTTATTGACGGACAAGTTCGCTACATCCTGAAAACAGATGTAAAGAAAAATGAAAGACGGCGTGTTTTTCGCAGCTTTCCTGTGGAGCGCCACCGGATTCTTTCAATGGCTGTTGCTGAAGATAAACTCTGGGTGGCAACCAGCAGATATATCTTCCGTTTCTTCACTAAACCGGGTGAAATGGAAGCGTTTGACATAGACGCCATGTGGTATGCTGGTCCAATTGGCATGGAAAACAATCCGCAGACTCAGGTTTCCCTTTTGAGGGTTGCTTTTGATGGACAAAGCGTTCTGTCTGTTTGTAGGTAGGTACCTATCTGCTTGCAGGGTGTCGCAGAGTAGATTAGCTCAATTTGAATACGTTAATTTTTATTGTGAAAGGTTTGAACTCAGACGTCAGTTCATAAGTAGGTTGAGCACGATCTTCCAGGAAAACGTAGCGCTGAATAGGACTGTTGTTGACAGTGACTGACGTTTCGACAACCTGTGCGGTAGTCATATTCAGAGGAAACTGAGTTTTATCACGTGAGTTGATGGTATTACTCTGTTTATTGACCTGATTGGTCAATTAAGTCGCGATGTTATTGGTCGTCTGTTCAGTCAGTCGGGTGCAAAGGTTTCTGCCGGTTTCACCAATGTAACTGGTCTGGCAGTCACAGCATTTGATCTCTTATTGCTCCCTGTCTGTCCTCCGGTTTGTCTTTGTCCTTAACATTTGTAAGAAGCCGTCGTAAAGTTGTTATGGGTTTGTGTGCAACACTTATATTGTAGGTGCCTCTCAGGTACGGTATTGTCGCTGTCTTAACAGGGCAAGAGTTAACGTTAGTCTGAGTGTTGTACTCAGCGTTACTGTGAGTGTTTCGTCTAACAGAGTTGTTTGTACCAGAAACGTTGTTTAGGTAGTCAGTCTCGTCTCGTAGACCGTCAGGCGAGTCGTTATCTAGTTGTGCTCGACTCGTCTAAGTCCGTGTAGTTGTAACCTTATGAGAGGTCGGGTTGTACGACGACTGGTCCAGTAATCTGTCGGTATGTGTCGGTTTCCTGTAAATTTACGTTCGTAGTCTGTTCTCGCGAGTGCGGATCAAGTAGTTTAGAAAAGGTACTTTACCGTTTTCCTTGATATCATTCGTAAACTTTATGTCTGCGTTCTGTCTGTTAAGGTGTTCGTGAAAATCTTCGATGTCGTCCTTGTGTACAGCGATAAAGGTGTCGTCAACTTAGCGTAACCAAGGAGATATAGTTCGCGTGTAAGTAGCTAGGGCTTGTTCCTCGATGTTTTGCATCACAATTTCTGCTACAACAACAGAAACTGGAGAGCCCATAGCTGTACCGTGTAACTGTACTGTTTGCCGTTGTACTGAAGGTACGTCGACGTTAGGCAGAGGTTGAGTAGGTCCATAATGTCGTCTGTAGGCAGTGGTAGTTTAACAGTGGAGTTCGTAATAGCGTTCTCAGTGCATTCTAGAACCAGTTGAAGTGGTTCAGTGATTTCACGTCAAAAGGCACTTGTTTGTGGTCGTCAGGTATCTGTATTGCCTTAATGGCGCCAATAAAGTTCTTAGTAAACTGTTGTTTATATCTAGATTCGTCAGTCAAAGGTCTCAGTACGTTAAACTAGTTAAGTATTTAGACAGTTCGTAAGTCGGGGACCCACAGAAAAAGACTGTGGGCCGCATATGTACGTTGAGTTTGTGTAGTTTTGGTAGTCCATACAGTTTGGGTGGCTGCGGGACACTAAACAGTCTGTTGTAGCGTCAGTGGATAATCAGATAATCAGTGGATCGTCAGAGTAAGACCTTCAACTGAGGTGATACAACTCACTTCACTCTGAAGATGACTACCGCACAGGTTGTCGAAACGGCAGTCACTGTCAACAACAGTCCTATTCAGGACTACATAGGCTCAAGTTTATTTTTGTCTGAGCCGATCTTAGCATACTTCAAGCCCTCATCCCTTAGGATTGCAGTATCTATGTTGCGTAACGTAAAGGTTTTTAGCGGATTTTTCTGGGGGCTTGCACGACAAACGTAAAATCCTCTGGATCCTGTGTCCTTCAACTTGTGTACGTGATTTAGTTCTTGTGCCTTTGATCACAAGCCTACCATCCACAGCATGTGTGATGTTTTATTTATTTTTCTTTCAAAATATATCTCCCGTTCTGATTAACTCAAATTCCCTGGCATATTCTTCATAACCAGCTCGCGATAACCAAATTTGAAAGACGTTTGCGATATCCGGTAAAATGACGTCAATGGTACAGGCTCCTACCGACCGAAAAAGGGACGAAAACCAAGAAGTCCTTGGGGCGAGGTTGTGTTAGCTCAGTTGTTTTGATAGAGTTGGAAAAAATGGCGAAAAATTCTACACGGAAGAGGTTGCCGAGCTTCTGCCTAAGAGAGGGAGGGTGGTGCAAAAATAAAAATAACAGCAGATTAGTAAAATGGGGGAAAAAATACGTCCAGACAAGAATCATTTACCCTACAGACGTCGTATGTTTTTGTGAAGTCACAGCTCACACGAGGGTAATATGTGTCGGAAGGGCGCAGGTCAACTGACACGATGCTCGTGGAAAGCACTGATGCCTTTGCCTGTATCACATGCGTGGAGCCCACGCGCGACGCCGTTTGGGTGGGGACCTCGAGCGGTCACATCTTGATTTTCGATTCGGATACGGGGCATCTTCTCTCGTGGTTCCATACTTTTGATGAAACGCGTAGCCTTACCCTCATGCACGGCCCAGGCCCATGTGGCACTGAGCAGAATTACGTCATCAGCACGGGCAAGGGGCTTAGGCCTGAGGGATTAGGGACACGTAGTGTGTGTGTGTTGTCTGCGGAACGAGTACGAGAGCCCCCCGTGGAGATTACTGCGAGGAAAATTTCCGAGCCGAAACAAAAGATAGGAAAACAGAACCAACGAAGCCCGACTCCTCCATGTGTCGATGAGCCCGATGCTGCAGAGGCAGACCCGTGCCTTCCCCCGAGGTGCGTGATGATTTTGTGGGAATCTGTGTCCAAGAGCTGTTTTTTCAGAATCGAGGCCAAAAGTGGTCGGCAGCGTTTTCCGATTGTTGCTAACAATGATGTCTCCGAAGACCAGGCCTCGAAAGATAGCGAAGAAGAGATTCCTCAAACGTAATCCGTAAAACGGTAACCTGAGGTCAACTTGTATTTGTGACCACGTCGCACTAGTTTACGACGAGAGTACTAATTCTCTAAATCTTAATAGACTTGGCTATAAAAATATTTTTTAGAGAAGAAATCATTGAGGTGAACAAACCGACGAACTGGGGTCTGTATCCAATTTTTGCAGATGACCAAAAGAGCGTTTTTTCTTTAACATAAAATTTCTTAATAAATTATTGTAGTGGCCTTATGCCTAGCAAAATTTGGGTAATAATAGGTGGTTTTGTATGAGAAAGTTTATTGAACGCTATCGAAGTTCAGTTATAACGCAGTATCAGAAACGTGCCGTATTTCCTACATTTTACATACAAATGTGTTAGAATAGATATAGCAAGGTATATTTCATGATGTAAAACGTAGTGTTACAGAGCCTGTAGCATCTTGGTTGTTTTTATTGAGCGCTAAAAAGGTCAGTTTTACATTTCTTATATCAGTCGGTCTTACGTTTATGTCTACGTTGTGAAAAGCTCTAAACTTGCCGTCAAATAAGTAACAAACCAATTTGTTTGTTGAGAAGGGCCCTCAGTAAGGTTTAAAAATACAAACGTAGGTAAATAGAGATTAAACAAAATGCTGCTGCGTTGTCTAAAATGAGAGAGCCTGGGTACAAGTGTGATGAACATCACACAGATTCGTCCCAACCGAACTTGCGCATTCCTATGCGCAACCTTCTCCCGAGGGCTAAGCCAGATACCAAAATTTTCCAGTTACGGCACTTTAGGTAGAACCTCTCAAGAGAGACCGCGACCGTTTTAGAGGGGTTGATGGTAACATTTTTCCGTGTTATAGTAGCTGAGCTTATGCGCGCGCGACGCTTCCTCCATTGCTGTACAAACTGGAAACCTATCGATGCGAATGAAATTTGGTTATGACATCAGGGAACGTACGACCATCCGTACAGACTCTCGAGGATTGGGAAGGGATACTCTTCAAGGCAGAGGAAAGGAGTTCCAGACATGCTTCGCGTTTCGGTCTTGGCTTAAAATTAACCAGTTTAAAGGCAATCAGTGTAACTTCCCCAGCAAAAATGTAGAACTTTCTTGTGTTTCACTTTCGACAAAAAATTAACTGTTTTTTGCTTGGTTACGCTTTTGGTCACTCTCCAGGACCAGTCTAGTCTCAGACTGGTCAAAATTTTGACAGGTGTTTGCATGCTTAACAACGTATGCAGCATCTTAAATAGACCTTTTCACGATACCTACGATTTTTGCACGCGCTAACAAGTAACTTTTGTAAACAAAATGTCTGTTTTCTCACCATACTGATTATCTCGTAAATGAGAAGTTTTACTCTTACGAACAAAACCAAAGCTTTCAATATATATATATATATGATCCTGATAATTAGAAGCTCAACACCATACTTTAAAAAAAGTAATTCCCTGTGAAAATTAAATATATTTATAGCAGCATATATTTTGTTTCCTTGCACACATTCCACAATATGTCGCACATAAAATAGTTACATTATTCTAAGCACATGCTAGCAAAGAAAGTTATCTTCTATACATGAATTTTATTTTACATCAGCGAAAACTTTGAGTATTAATTTTTAAAAGCAGAACACGGTATAATGATGTAAGCTCAATGTTACGTGATGGATGCAAGAGCTGTTCTCTCTGTCCACCTCACGTATTTTAGATTCTTGATTGTAATGCGTTATGTATAGTTTTAATATTAATTTTTTACTTTTATATTGTATGCGTAATTCCAATTATAGATTGTGTATGGGGTTTATCCCAAGCTATAAGGCTCCGACACATTAATAAAGTCTTCTATCTGTCTATCTGGCTGTCTGTCTGTCTGTCTGTCTGTCTGTCTGTCTGTCTGTCTGTCTGTCTGTCTATCTATCTATCTAACATCTATCATCTATCTCTCTATCTCTCTCTCTATCTCTCTATCTATCTATCTATCTATCTATCTATCTATCTAAGTATCTATCTATCTATCTATCTATCTATCTATCTATCTATCTATCTATCTATCTATCTATCTATCTATCTGAGGCTATTAATCCCTGTAAGGTTCAGTGTGCTTTACCTCAAAAACCCTAAATTCCTCTTAGATGGGCAACTCTAATCTAACTGCAAATTTCCTTAGAGATAACTGGAGAGGGTTTGACAAAGTTCAAAGCATTTTCTCTTTGGTGATCATTTTATGAATTCTCATAACCATTTCTCTTTACAATGTATGGATATTGTTGGGAGAAAATTGATGTTAGTCACTATTGAGTGTTTTAGGTTTAAGAGGCATTTTGTTTAACAAACTTGTACGGTACAAACATTTTACTGAAAAATTGAAACTGTGCTGTTTAACAAAAATTCAAGACCATGTCTTGACATAAATAAATCTGCAGTTATTAACAAAGTCATACATAATCGTCTTCAAACTGAAGACGGTTTTGCACGATACCTAGCATACACACGCAAAAACAGTGCAATGAACACAACAATAACCCCCAAAACAGCTTGAGCAGACAATGGGTGATTATTGATAATGCACGATAGCATGATACTCAACATCATTCTAATGGTCATGATGATGGTAAACACAACTGGCCCAAAAGACTGTATGGTGTAAAAAATAAAAAGCTGACCTGTCGCTGAAGCCAGTGACAGTATTGTGACATGGTAGGCAAACTCAGGGTTGCTCATCATAAACCCAACTGCTGATAAAAAATTTCCACCCTCAATCATTGACCAGACCGTGAAGAGACAACTGAACAGGCTTGCGCCAAACATCATTTGGATGGTTGACATCTTGTATACTGAGAACAGTTCTGCTTGCCAGTTGCAAGTGAAACTATCAAACACCATGCGTGCCAAAAGTAATATAGCTCCTGAAAAAGTGGTAGCAGCAGATGTTCGCTTCCCTGATGGATCTGCTGCCAGGAGAAACAAACTGACGCCCACAGAGAGTAGAACAGCAAGAACATATTCGTGGTAGGGGTAGGATTTATTGGCCACTATCTTGCCCATGATCATTACTGGAATGATCTTGGATGCTCCACAAAGAATCAGGGTTGGATAGCTTACATACAGTCTAAGGGCCTCATATTGACACCAGCTGCTCAAAATATTTGAAAAGGACGAATAGGAATACTTGTAAAGGGGTGCAGTGTGGCGTGGCTGGCGAGTGAACAAAATGCAAGATGATGCTGCAACTAAAGCAAGTGAACGATTTACAAATATTAGGAACTGAGAGTTTGTGAATTTCACTAATTTGACTGAACCATCAGGAAGGAGCTCTTTATAAGTTCGTCTCACTATTTGCTCTATTAGGACACCCCAGGTGAGGTATGACAATTGCAAACCACCTGCACAAAACAAGAGCTTGATGCTTGGTTGAGAAAAACTTGGTGGAGGAGAGCTTTCATCCTTTGAAGGACTTTCTTTGATGCCACCATCTTCTGCTTGAACGTCTGCAGATTCTATATGAGGAGCACCAAAAACACACAGCTGAATTGAGCGCAACAAGCAGCTAGTTCCTAAGAAAGCGAAAAGAAATAGACAGTATTTTCAGGACATGATAAAATACCGTGAGTGCAAATTTAACCTCATATTAGGTACATGCCTTGGTCTTAAATAGTAAAGTGAACATGCCCTGTCCAGTTTAAGAAAATTTTAATATAAGTTCATTGTCCAACAAAACGTTACAAACTAGATATCTTTGTCATAACAATCGTAATTATTATAGGAAGCAAGTGAAATACTTGAGCGAGAAATTGACAACCTCAAAAGATGGACCAAGGAGAGCACTGTGTCTTGACACAAGTACTTGACTGTCTTGACTGTCAACATATGTGTTAAGGCGTTTTTTAACAGAAACTCGGAGGTACATTGATCGCGGCCGTCATCTTGGAAAGCAAAGGAAACGACTAAGGGAGGAGGGCGTTAAAAGGGGCAGGGGTGGGGAGGCCTCTTCCTTCAAATCAGTTTTTGACTCGTCCCAACTCTCTGGCAGTATTAAAGTCCAAGATGGCGGGACAACGTCATTCCCGAAAACAAATTAGCCTGCGAAAACATCCGTTTCTCCTCGCTCTTCGTCGCTGAGGACGTTTCGCGCGGAGGAACGTCTGCGACTCAGTGACAGAAATTCCATACTGATGACGCAAATCAATGTTTACATAATAAATCCGGTAGTCATCGGGTTCCAAATATAAATTTGTCTAATTTTGCGTGTCTTCTGTTCGATTTTGGTAAAGTGTTGTGTTGATCTGCCCACGAGCTCCAGCAAAACTCAAATGCTTCTTCTAGAGAAGACTATATTCCACAAATATTGACGGTTTTGTTAGAGATTCTTCGTGTTTACATTTGACCTTTTTGGCCTTTTGTCTTTTGTCTGTCATTTGTAAACAATAGCTAAAACAATGTAACTGCTCCGTCGACCAATCAGCGCTTCTGACCGGATTCTGGAGAGATTTTACGTCATCAGTATGGAATTTCTGTCGCTGAGTCGCAGACGTTCCTCCGCGCGAAACGTCCTCAGCGACGAAGAGCGAGGAGAAACGGATAATTTCGTAGGCTAAAAACAAATCATCGCTCCAAAATACGCCTGCTTTGCAGGCTAGTTATTTACTTGTGGCCTTTAACTTACCGAAACTCCCTGCGAGTCAGAGAAAAGAATGACAGTAAGCGATCTCTCTCGTTTCCTGTGCTACTTTTTTCGTTGAAATAACTATATAGCTTAACTTTTTTAAAATAAATTTATGTTCAAAAAAGAAATGAAAATAAAGCAAGATGAGGGAATGATCGCTGACATATCAAGCCGTACTACGGCAACACGGTTCATTAGCAACACCTACAAAAATCCTTCGTCTTAAATTAAATAAAGAAGAAACGAAAAAAAAAATACTTTTTTAAACCAAAATATACATGCACAACGTCAGGGTGTACACGTAGCACGAACAGGGCAAACATCTTACCACTTCGTTCATTAAAGTTTGAGTTCTTGAGCATACGGATGATAAAAGCCTCGGGGACGATAATTGTTGCATAGCCAAGTAGGTTCCACATCAGGTTCTCTATCCAGCTATCATTATCCACCTCTGCATTTTGTCCCGAACTCGCTTCCTTCTGATTCTCCGTGTCCCCTAGCGCTTCGTCTCCTTTCACGTGAGCTCCGTATATCGTTAGAGCAAGTAGCAGTACGGCTATCAGGTGAACAGATATAGACTTAAACATATTGTAGTCAGGGAGCAGAGACCAAAAAATGCGAGTTTCGTTCAACCATGACGCAACAGAAAAGGTCAGACACTTGATTCTCGAAGAGAAAGACTTCCCGATCAACAGTTTAACAATTAGTTCATGCGTGAGCGTGCGTATGTCGAGAAAAATATGAAACTACAAACTGATCCTTACGGCAAGGCGATGAAGAAGTAAACAAAAGAATTTGTATGTCGAGAACGCGGAAGTTTGGAGAGCACGAAAGTGTGCCTCGAGCAACTCTAGCCTCTTAATGTGCCCTCCAAACTGCCCGCGTGCTCAATATCTTGACATACGCACAGCTGAAGCATGAACTAATTGTTTTATAACATTATCGAAGCGTTCAATGCAGCAATTAACTTAAATTATAACTGAATAAAACGATCTATTGCATAAATCAGCTCTACTTACGAAACATAAACGTGATGAACAAAAGTACAAGAATTCAAAAACACATGTCGCAAAAAGGCAGAGGGGGGTAAAGTAAACTTTCAGTTCCGAACAATAACATAGTGCGCGTGCTTGCCCTATATAAGTCCTATTGAGCCGCTATGAACAAAGTCTTTATTTACGCACGCCCGTGCGTGAATAAGATTCTTTTTCATGATGACGTGTTCAGCTGTGTTTTCGTCTCTTTTCCTAAGTACCCAAACATCGACGGCAATGATGAAAAACTTTCCAGATTTGTTTGAAATTTAGCTTTGTTCTAGCCACTCAAACCAACAGCAAAAACGGTGAAGATGTCTCGCCAATAATAGTATAGTAGAGCCTGAATGATTCGTTGAAAAGTCTGTCTTAAAGACTGACATTTAAGTGGAAAAAGACCACAAATTTGTCTGACCAGCCAATGTTGGTAAATGAATGTAAGTTTAAAGAAGGATGACAGTCGTCTTCGCTGAAAAAAATGTTTTCTGGATTTCACCGAGCAAAACGTCACAACAAAACGTAAGTTACACTCTTTTCAGCAAATCCAAACCATGCTCCACGACTTCTTACGAACATAGGAGTATTTTAACTTTAGGTGAACTTTAAGACTCTTTTACCATTGTTTCTGCTTAATTAATTTCCATTGATCTTTAACGAATAAAGAAGCAAATTTTCTCTCCCAGTTTTACAGAAAGAATTTTCATTCAAACTAGACGATTGTGGCGTGTTTGTAATCAGCCAATAGAAGCGTTTGTTACTTCCTCGAACCCAGACGTCTCTCTCTCGATGAAGATGTGCGCGACGGGAAGGAGACAACGGGCGAGACGGCGTTTCGCCCGCCGCCTGTACCTTTCCCATGGTCCCTTGCTGTTTATCACTGACCAATCGCTTGCGAAAAACGAAGCCCCTGAGGCCGAGGCTGCGTTTGTTATGTGTCGCTCGTTACGAGAGTTTTGCAGTTAATCAAAAAGCAAGCATTTTTGTCAGCTATGTTGTATAAGAATTTGCTCATACTTTTAGCTGTGCGTATATAGAGTTATTGATGCAGTTGGGAAGTTTGGAGAGCACTCAAGAAGCTAGAGTTGCTCTCGGCTGCGCCTCGAGCTACTCTTAGGCATCTGTTGTGCTCTCCAAACTTCCCGCGTGCATCCATAACCCGATATACGCATGGCTAAGCGTGAACATATTGACACAAGTACTTGACTGTCTTGACTGTCAACATATGTGTTAAGGCGTTTTTTAACAGAAACTCGGAGGTACATTGATCGCGGCCGTCATCTTGGAAAGCAAAGGAAACGACTAAGGGAGGAGGGCGTTAAAAGGGGCAGGGGTGGGGAGGCCTCTTCCTTCAAATCAGTTTTTGACTCGTCCCAACTCTCTGGCAGTATTAAAGTCCAAGATGGCGGGACAACGTCATTCCCGAAAACAAATTAGCCTGCGAAAACATCCGTTTCTCCTCGCTCTTCGTCGCTGAGGACGTTTCGCGCGGAGGAACGTCTGCGACTCAGTGACAGAAATTCCATACTGATGACGCAAATCAATGTTTACATAATAAATCCGGTAGTCATCGGGTTCCAAATATAAATTTGTCTAATTTTGCGTGTCTTCTGGTCGATTTTGGTAAAGTGTTGTGTTGATCTGCCCACGAGCTCCAGCAAAACTCAAATGCTTCTTCTAGAGAAGACTATATTCCACAGATATTGACGGTTTTGTTAGAGATTCTTCGTGTTTACATTTGACCTTTTTGGCCTTTTGTCTTTTGTCTGTCATTTGTAAACAATAGCTAAAACAATGTAACTGCTCCGTCGACCAATCAGCGCTTCTGACCGGATTCTGGAGAGATTTTACGTCATCAGTATGGAATTTCTGTCGCTGAGTCGCAGACGTTCCTCCGCGCGAAACGTCCTCAGCGACGAAGAGCGAGGAGAAACGGATAATTTCGTAGGCTAAAAACAAATCATCGCTCCAAAATACGCCTGCTTTGCAGGCTAGTTATTTACTTGTGGCCTTTAACTTACCGAAACTCCCTGCGAGTCAGAGAAAAGAATGACAGTAAGCGATCTCTCTCGTTTCCTGTGCTACTTTTTTCGTTGAAATAACTATATAGCTTAACTTTTTTAAAATAAATTTATGTTCAAAAAAGAAATGAAAATAAAGCAAGATGAGGGAATGATCGCTGACATATCAAGCCGTACTACGGCAACACGGTTCATTAGCAACACCTACAAAAATCCTTCGTCTTAAATTAAATAAAGAAGAAACGAAAAAAAAAATACTTTTTTAAACCAAAATATACATGCACAACGTCAGGGTGTACACGTAGCACGAACAGGGCAAACATCTTACCACTTCGTTCATTAAAGTTTGAGTTCTTGAGCATACGGATGATAAAAGCCAGGGCCTTTGGGGAGGGGTGGAGACGCGCGACGGAGGGCGGGGGGGGGGGGGGGGAGCAGCGCAGCGTCGGCGGGGGTGCGGTTTTCTCTTCTATCCTGGTGTTTGGGCGGGGGTGGGGTGGTTAGGGGGAGGAGGGGGGGGGGGGGGGGGGGGGGGTTACAATATGATTTCCCTTGGTAATTAGCAGAACAGAACGAGGGTGTACCTCTACTGAACCATACTCTTTTACATGTAAAGCGATATGCTTTTGTGGACGAAACTGGATTTGTATTTGTGCTTTTCTAATGATGACTATGGTTTCATAAAATGATAACAGTCGGTGGCTAGCTTCGATTTTTTTCCGTGTACGTTTGAAATACCCGTATATGACGTACTTAGTATACGCTGTGTTACATTTCAAGTGCCATATATAGAACGTTGAGCGTAAAACGGAATGGCGGACGAGAACGACAAAAGATGGACAGCACTTTCATGCGTCGCTTTACAGAAATTTACAAACAAAAAGATTAGTATTTATCTCTCTGATAGCAGCAAAAGGGTAGGATGGGTATTCGCTATTGATCCAGTGACTCACTCTGTCGTTCTAGAAGAAGAAACTGAACACTCGACAGAAACTTCTAAGAAACTCACTTTTGTGTTAGGACATTCGATTTCACGGGTTGTTTTGGAGGAAGACGCTGAATCCAGCAAAGGACCGCGCCGTCAGTTAACTGATTTCATCGGAGATGCGAAGGATACCCAATATTCTCAGGAAGAGCTGATGAAAAGGAAAGAGGATTTAATGGACTGGCTTTCTCGTAACAGAGTTCCTGTTAGTGAATACTCTGAAAACAGTGCGTTGCTGTCTGTTATGGGAGTGTTGTTAGTGGAGCCACCTTATGACCCTGACTGCTGTAGATGTAGCAACGAGATCGTACTCGACCGTGTTCAGAAACTTATCAAAGCAAAGCAAGATCATGATAAGTGTTATAAGTGAGCAAGGATATAGTTCTACAGAATTATATGCGCTACTGTTATAGGAGTTGGTGTACTCACTCACTTGACGGCATAGTGGCTACACTTTGATTTATGACTGTAGCCCCAAAATCGCAGAGTCCTCATTTATTTGTGAGGTGGGGAACCTAAGGGGGTCGTAAGTGCCATGAGTACCGGTATGTACCGGCCAAAAAAGATTACAATGTTGGGACCGGCTGATCTTTAGGAGAGTTCTTGGAATTCCTTCTATGATATTTCCACTGCAGAGTATGGGCACTCTGATTGGCTGTTTTCTTGTAATGATCAGGTATTATTAACTAGGTGTCCAAGGCGTGTGGTAGCCATCCTTATTGATATCCATGTTATGGACAATTGACAGCTGTCAAAAATAGCATCCGTTGACCAGTGTCACCTGACTGTATCATGGGCTCAAGTGTATAACTCATTTTTAAAGTTATCTGCTGGCCAGTTGTTGGTTTTTTGCTGGTTTAGGTGCATAATGAAAAGGCCATAAAATAAATAGCTTATTAACCCCATCTGTTTGGTCATTACAGAAAAATCTCAGACCTCGGCTTTGATGTATTGACCTCGCTATCGCTCAGTCATAACTTTTATACATCTTGGCCTCAGTCTTAGATTTTCCTGTAATGAAAGTAGTAAGTAATGAGCTAGTTTTAAAAATTTCTCTTGGGGGAGTCATATTAGAAATGACATATTTACAGACAGGGTATCAGTGACAAGGAAAAATTTGTCAAAAACAGGGTTGAAATTTCAAATCCTGGGTAATATGTACCCACCCAAGAGTCCCTCCTCTCCCTGCTCCCTGGTTGGAAACCAACATGATTTTAACCCATTCCCTCCTGCGAATTTCACTAGAAAACCCTTTTTGAAACTAGTCGAGCCATTTTCAGGTTACTGTTTGGCTATTAAGAGCCAAAAAATTCCCCAATGCCATTTGTAGGTTTAGCATTTCATGAGCTTCTATTCCAAGTGCAAAATAATAGCTTCCAAAGTTTGGGCATGCAGGGCAGAAAGCCGAGTTTTGAGGCCTTTTCTTTTTGCTTTCTCTCCAGCCCCTTTTGTTTTGCTTTTCTTGCCTTGTTTTCTCTTGCTGGGCAGTTAGTACATGTAAGTTCATTTCGTTGGGAAAAGTTTTTTGGGGGAAGCTTTTAGTATCATAC